GCCTCTGTTCCCCGTCGAGGTCATTAATGATTATACCACCGCACGCGGTGCCATGTCGGACAGTGCGTCTGCGGCACCGGGTATGTATATCCTAGGCTCGATGAGCACAAACGTCGCTTTTCGCACACGCTTTCAGTGCCAAGTGGCGTCGATGAGTATGTAGTCGACTTTGAGTCTGACACCTCTTTTCCTGCATGGGATGACGAGGACGGCGAGCTGCACCGAGCAGCGTGATACGAGCCCTTCTCGCGCCTTGCGGACCCCATGTCCGTTCCCTGACTTCTCGTCAACTAAGGAAGGGGGACGAAGTTGGGCTCTGCCCGTGCTCGCTGTCAGAACCGGCGAGACTTGATGATTTTCGTGTTGTGGACACAGGGCTCATTGAGCAAGAAAGTTGTTAAACTCCAACAAATTGAGTTGCAGTGTCCAACGGACACGCGAGCCTCGTTGAGGCAATAATTGATTGAAACTGTTAATGTTCTCAATCTTAATGGGGTACACGAACGCTAATAACAGGGGGGTGTCACACGAGATGTTCATGATGTGACTACTCACCCAAACAAGAATACGGTACGGGGCTAGGTAGCCAGTAGTTATGCATATATTTAGATTTTACTATATATATTTAGTATATTCAGAAAACTTTTAACATTAGGATAAAAATGTAAATATAAATCAGTTTGGAGTTTAAACCGAAGAGTCGATTAGCCTTGGGAAGGCAATCATCACTCTTGGAGTAAGCGGATTGCGATCCGCTAACCCATACTTGGTTCTTGTAAAGAACGAAAGGTCGGTGACCTAAAGTACACTTCCTGAAGCGTTTTGCTACGGAGCCCCGCTGCATTACCCCTCCAATTTTGACATGAATTTTGGCTTAGTGGTTTTGAATGGTGGCTCCAATCTGTTAAGTGAGAGTTTGAGTCCCACCAACGGTCAAAGTAGGAAGCGATTATTGGTGTCTGGGGTAACCAAGGCTCTCCAGCAGGAGTCACGTTTCCGGCCGGTCGATCTTTGATCATGGGATTTCAAGGTGATGTACCCATAACCGTTTTTTTTCACGCATCACTAAATTGTATATTAGAGTTGATACTGTATAGTGTATAATATTAGCTAGGTACATTTGAAAAGTAATCCTATAAACTATGATATAGACATATTTCAACTGAGTAAATATTATATGGTCCTTGAGCCGTTGACCCAGCTCGGGTAACAGCTAGAAAAAATTAAAAAGGAAGGCACTCACTAAAAAAATCTCACAAATAGCCTATCAATTGGACTTCGAGTTGGCGACGGGAAAAATGAGAACTCAAGCAAAAATCAAAAAAAAATACCCCAGCGGATTGAAGCAACGTAATGTCTTAGTCAGGAGTGAGTAGGTGTAACCGTGTGACAAGGAAATACATAGCAACTTCCAACTGAGCTAATATCATGCCGTTAAGTTAGAGGATCATCACTTTAGCCGCTCACCAATTCTTTTATGTTTATATACAAACTTTGAGAGTAATGAAAATTATTTCAGCATTCAATGTGCCACGATCATATTGTCTTCCAGTTTAATAACCACTAAAACTCAAGCAATATTTCCCTCGTTTCACTTCTCTAATCAGAGATGTTGCAAGTGTAATGGTCTGATCGTTGTCATCGAGTCCGATCAAAAAAATATGAGGTCCATCATCCTCGGACAATATTTGCGACCGTATATTTGCGCAAAAGAGATTGCTGATGCTGGTCGACTTCGACCAACATGAAAGGTGAAGAGAACGATGTTGTCCTTCACCAGAAAAGTGCCCATACTGTAAGTTGACATCGTAACGTGATAGCACCAAGGCAATAGCAACTTTGCGTTCGATGGGTCTCTAACTTACTTGGTAATGAATATGTCAGACACAAAATAAAAATTGATTTTACTTGAAGTAATACTAGCATGTGCACACACAAAATATTGACGGATAGCGTAAAATAACGCTCGATTTCGTTACATAATTTAGCACTGAAGAAATGGTCATGCTACGTCATGATTGCCACACATGACCCTCTATTAAGCGTATTCGAAATGAGTTGGAAATGATATGATATTATCAGTCCATACTCGTCGCAATTAGTGTGAGGTATGTTCTGTGACGCTTGTTTTTCAAATCGCTCCATAACTTAGCATAACATTCACCGTCTTTGTTGCTTGAATGATCCTGCTTTGTGAATTTAGCACTATAATCGCACAAGATATCTGTCTTTCATCACTACATAGTATTTAGCACCTGTTCTTCACATATTGATCAATTGAAAAACATTCTCGGAGCGTCAAAATTAGAGTCCGTTAAGCATAAAAATGCCATACACTTAATGTTATAATGTGCATGCAGAACTAGCCTAGCTAGTTCCACTCGTTTATTTTGAGCTGTATTAAGTGCTTGTAACTTAGAAGACATATAGGGAAAGATCGCTTATGGCTCCGAAGCATATGGAGCTAGGGAACGATTTGACGATTACCAATTTTAAATTGTTATTTTTACATTCAAGATGCTACAACCTTTATTTTCGACTAAACGAAGTGCCTTGCTTCCCATTATCAACGGGGGTTGGAGATTTCCAAATTATGCTATTGAACTACATACCACGCATAGCCGAATTTGCAGTTGCTAAATTCCTTTTAAATATATCTACATAAACCAACTGCATGCATAATCGCTTTAGTTATGGACATATCCATTTATTCCTCATTTCCTTGCTTTTAATATGACTACTTGAAGCACGGCTGATTTTCCAGATACTGTGTGAGCTGCGTGCGAAAGAGCTGGCTCGTTAAAAAATTAGTAGACTCACTTACATTGTATGCTAATGTTTGAGTACTCAGCCAAGACTTGTTGGAGTACTGATGCTAATTTTTCGCGACTTAGTTATGACCCGCGCGACCATCGTCACCAAGATGTAAATGCGTGTTTTCGTTGAACAAGCTGCGTGACGGCGTCAGGAGTGTATTTGTCATGTGGATCTCGATAGCAACCCAGACCACTATTTCCAGGTTCTTGTCAATTACATCTTACAATAGTTAAGTTGGTGGTAAAACCATTTACGGAATCGTTGCACAATTATTTTCATGCCAGCAGAATCCAAGATTAACAGCGACCCTATTTACTTTCCTCGAGCATGGGCTTGAAGCAGACCAGGCTGTCCAGAATATACAATGAAAGTTCATCATTCCGCCAAAAGTTGTGCATCTTCGTGAAAACGTAATATTCGCTTACAAAGCCCGGCTAAAGCGATATGTGCATCATGGTGGCTCATGCTCTATTTTTAATGCCAAAATGCTATTTCAACACCGAAAAGCTTTTTTCTAATCGCTCGTCTCCGGAATATAAACAAATCGCTGCGCAGCGTGCTTATCAAGCAACGCGTCTCACCACTTGATACAAGAAGCAAACAAACGAACAAGCAAACGATGGATTTTTTCACGCATTGACGATGATCGTTCACGTAATCAGAAATGACGTACAAAAAAGGTAAGGTCCTATTGTGTCATAACAGCTAAAATTGCTATATGACATAATTAGCCAAAAATGCTTGAATTAATGTCGTTTCACAGAAAAGCTTTTACAATTTGTGTTGATATCATACGCCTGCAATCCTACCAGGCTGAACTTATTGTGCCAATTGTTACTGGGCTTGTTTCTTCTTGTTGGTGGTTATGCGATGATACAAATACAACGTTTGGAATCGTTGCGCTTGTAAAATGGTAGACCTAGCTTCTACCGTATATTTCAAATCGGAGGATCTGGTGGCTAGCCGAGTACTATTTAAAGACTAAGAAGATCTGGTGAAAGAATCTTGTCGTATGAAGTATTTATCGCTCACAAATAATACCTGCTTGCTATGGTACCACGGCCAGATTAAGCAGCTTTTTCTCAGATTTAAATCCGCTGGTATTACTATCAAATTATAAGGTTAGCAAAGGATTAGTCCAAGAGCTTTGTCAAATCTGTCAAGGACTAGTACGACGGTTGCGCTAATTTTCCTAGCTTTCTTCATGACGCATCCCAGGCTGAAGTGTCGAAAAGCAAATTAAAGTGAGATGCCATCTTTAGCGATGACTTGAAGACAGTATTAGCAAGAGCAATAGTGGTCCACCCCTGTCTAATCCGCCCAGATAGCTGCCAGAGACATGGTATGGAGGTAGTTCGAAGGTTCCCAGAGCGGCAAACGTTGCTGTAGTATGTCGCTCGCTCGTTTCTGCGACGTGAGTTCAGAGACTGCCTCTCCCTATACAACTTAATTTCGCATAAACTGACAACTTTCATACCTATTGGTTTTCATTTATATAGATATTGCAAGAAATTCACAGCCTTACTGAACAAAAACCTATTTTTAAGCATGCGTCGCCACATGGCAGCCTTGAACCAAAACCTGGCACAAAGGAGCGGCAGCAGCGCCGTAGGACAGGCCGCTGCATTAACAATCAAACCACCACCTCCGTGCAGACACCAGCTTCGGCAATTAAAGCTCGTCAGTTTCAGTGTAGACGCGTCAGCAGCAGCATGAGCGGGGTTGCTGAAGGGCATGACCAGCGTACGAGCAGTGAGACTGAAATTGAATGCGATGAGCTGCAGCCCATGGCAGAAGAGGAGACATCAGCAGGCTGGCGGAGGCTGCTTAATTTTCCACCGCAGCCGATGTTAGCGCCTGTAGCTCCGGCGTTTTCATTAGATGATCTTGCACAAAAGAAAGAGTCAGACGCAGCGAGTGAAATTGCTCCAACAACACTTGCGGGTCACGTCATGTGGAAAGTAGCTGCGCGGATGTCATTGCATCACGAGAGTCGTCTACTGCAGCACTTTACTCGCTCTATTCGCAACCGAGGAACGAATAAGGTGCGTCAGGCTCATACAAACGGTCGTAACTGTGGGGCGTTAATACGGTGACTGATGGGTGGACCATGCCGTTATGATTGCAGGATGGGGAGAGGAGGCCCAGTTTTATGCTAGAGATGGACCCAGATGAGGTCGATATGAATTCACAAGCAAAACCTAGGAAGTCCGTACGTAATTCTATCCCAGGACTGCGTAAGATAGACGATGGTATCAATCGGCGACAATTGGACCCAGATGCCGCCGCATATCCGGAAACAGCAGGTCGTCCCGCTTCTGCTGTCAGTGGCACTGGCGCAGCTTCATTATTGTCTAGTACTAGTACCAGTATATTGCCTCCGATGCCGCCACTTGTGTTTTCGCCGACTAAACGAAACTCGCAGAAACATGCTCGCAGTATGACGCTTATGCAGTATTCCAAGTGGAAATACCCCGGACTGCGTCCAGGTCTCTCAGTGCGAGTAGTACGGTGCGATATTGCGAATTCTATGCATGCTGTCTCAGAGTATGTACTGCACGTTGTGGATCTGCATACTCGTGTCTTCTGGATTACAAAGAAGCGGTTTAGCGACTTTTACTACCTCCGTCGCAAAGTTCGCGGCATGATCCGTCGCGCACCCGAGACAGCTGATGAAGAGAGGGACTATCTACGCTTTTTACTGGACCTGCCGTTTCCGCGGCGACGATTTCGACCAGTTAGTTCCGCAGGGATAAACCGCGGGCTAGGCGAAATCGAGGTCTTTTTGAGAAATCTGGCAGCATTAGAACCTACCTCAAAGTTGCAACGCAGTATTTTAATGGAACTGCAGCTCGAAATGTGCTCTGCTGAATTTGTGTCTTCGCTGGAGAAGATCGATACGACTGGGGAACCTCTTGAGCCAAAGTGGTTGAATTACGATCTGTTTCGCCGACTTAACTGTGATGGCGCAGTAGAGGGTAGTACGTGCTATAAGTTCTTGCACGCTTTTAGAAATCGAGTTACCACGATTGAAGCTGCCGTGTGTCCAGGATGCAGTGAGTTTGAAGGAATTGCGCTGGCAACAGCAGCAGTTAAGGATCTGCGCACTACAGTCACAAGTATCGAAAAGTATATTCTAGAAAATTTGGATCCACAATACGTCGATACATTGTCTCTGTCGGACCAAAGTGTTAATGTATCGTCTGTGTTGGACGATTGCGTTTATCATGCTGTGGAAGATGCTATTTTAGTGCCACTTGAAAAACAGGTCAATTTTCTTGTGAGTACGACAGTGGATAAGGAGGCTGAGAAGCGACTGGCGCACAATATTGAGCGTTTAAAGTGCAGATCTCAGACTGAAAGTGGCATTCCAGAGCATTTGCAGTCCGACGAAGACTGGGGATTGTCATGCCATCATCTAAGCATGATTGACGAGCGAACACTGCCTATGGACAAAATTCAGGAACTTTTGCGTGCTGCTCTTGAAATTTTTAAGAGCTGCGGCGAGAAGAATCTGGAGTGGCGAGAAAATTCAGCTCTGACTGCTGACGACTACCTCCCTATCCACATATATGTTGTTGTGAAAAGCGGGTTGAAACGACCGCTAGCCACGAAGGAACTTCTAGGCGCCATGATCCACCCGTCTTTGATGCTGGGGGAAGTGGGCTATTTCTTAACCATGTTTGAAGTCGCGCTGAAGTACATCGCTGACATGTAAATCAAGACCAGATAATTAAGCAAGCTAAGGTCATTTTTGAGCGACTACGTGCTTGATCATCAGCGCGTTTTTCTTTGTGTTAGCAGTATAATTGGGCATGTAACAAGACAACTAGAGTAGCCGACATTATATTTAAATGTCGTGCATGTTAACCGATGAAAATTATAGAATGCGTACCATAAATTGCCATTGTTGAGCCCGTCACTTGTCATGGAGCTGATCAAGATGATTCGCAACATAAAAGTGGAAGAAGATATCATTAGATTTGCTTTGATGGCGGACCTACCGTTTATGCTCGCTTTTTTGCTCCCTTACTTACCCTAACAAAAATTGACACACACTAATTTCGCTTTAAGAAAGAACGACCTACAGAAATCGCACATACTCAGGTTTTGTTTACCAGTTTGCTTCGAATAGATTACTCACATACTGAGATTTGACTGGTGGTTGTTGATAATTTGTCCTTGAATATGCTGTGCAAACTAAGCACAGTAAAAATAGCAATAGCTCGCAGGTCTCACCATACATATGAATTAAAGTAAGCTAAAATAGAAAATTTCGAAGTCATTTCGTCAAGGAAGTGTTTTTTTACCTCTAATTTTGTACCATATACTTTTTTTAAAACTAAAACTTTGACGACCATGTCCGCTCATCCTCCTTCAAAGAGTACTACAACTAGATTGCCGTTCACCTTGCACAAAGAAGATATTGATTTCACCATTTGCGCTATCTCGAAAGGGTTTATGCGCTCTGGAGCCTCTCAAGTGACTTGGTGCTTATTTGCTCTTGAATGTGACTCTTAACCTAAAAATAATTATATATGTTCTGCTATCTACGGTAATAACACCCATGTTATGCATCGCGTGAGGCCTCTACCCTTTTATGTCTCATAAATTGGGTACTTACGCCGTACACAATCGTCACTCCGTCGTCATCGGCAATCTGCCGAGCATCTCTCCTAGGTCGCCTATCGCTGTGCGGGAGACCTCACGAATCTGGAGCACTTTGTATACCGACTGCCTCGCGTTGAGGATTATCGTGCTCTGTCGGAGCGGCTCGTAGCCGTCGAGCAGGTGAATAAGTCACTTCGTGTGACGGTGAGAAGAATTTGTAGATACCGTCAACGTCGTGATTATAGGTTTAAATCATCCAAAGTGTCTGCCGCACCACGCTGGAGCCTTTATCCATTTTGTACTGGACGCTGGCAGAGTACTGGGTATATCTTCGCGTACTGGGTGAAGAAGGCACGTCGTCTTTCACGTTTAGTAAATTTTAAAGCTGCTTTGAGTAAAAGAGACCTCAGATTGTAATGTCCTTCAGAGTTGTCTTTAAGCGCGACTTAGTAGTCAAAGAGGACCATCAGCATCATACTATTTGATGTTGAAGCCCTGCTCATCACCATGAGTCTGTTGTTACAGCTCAAATCTAAGACTTAAAACCCGACCTCATTTTCTGGTGGGAAGCGCTTCGCAATTTGGAAATCCTTTTTGCTTTCCGATTGGAGATGCCAGCATTACCCATGACACAAACACAAGTTACACACTACATACTACAATTCCCTTGACAGCCACAATATCCATTTATTTGTCGAGTCTGTAATCTGATAAAGCAACTTGCGATGTCACTACATTGAGTAGCTTGCAGTCGTAGCTAAATATAAAATGATATACATATACGATGTCACAGTTACGATGCGTTTTATCTGGGCTGGCCCAAAGGCATGCCACAATGTCGCTTTTACGAGCCTTTTGGATGTAAAGCGTTTGTCACAAAAAAGCATCAAACCGCTTATCCCCAGAGCACCAATTAGATTCTTGTCTGCTTGTCATACAGACGCATGGTGAGACTATGTACATTTGGGATACTACGTCGAAGACTCTGGCACCGAATCAGCGACATACAAAATTTCGGGTGTTCCTTTATGTAAATGTGCTTTATTTCCAAGCCTAATTTATGCAACACGAAGACGCTGAACATGATTTTGAGGTGATTGGCGTCTACATAGTACATCTTCGTACCTGAACTGCATTGCTTAGTGTCGTTTACCGTCATTTCTCATCAGAACGACACAGATTGACTGAAACACCAATAACGTTTAAAATGTTGCCAGTAGGTAGATGACAGATCACTTTATGAATCGCAAAAAAGCTCTTATAAAAGAGAAATTAGCTTATATGACACACAGTTATGTGTGTAGGAGTCCAGAGCAATATTGAAACATCAGTTGTCTTGTCACACATGCGTGGATATTGCTCCAATCCATATTGTGATCGCTTTGCTTGCATGTATCGCGTATTTGTGATGCCATGCGCCATGTATCATTTTCATTGAGATAAAAATGCTCGACAGTGTGACGTTAAATGTTTGAGCGTGGAGGGTATCATTTTGTATCGATTAATAGAATCTGTTAGCATAACAGAACTGAAAGACAATAAAAGTGGCTGGGTGTCGCTGTGCTTCTGCCCGAGTCATCGCCATTCGGATTGATATTGCATTGGTGACACGCACTTTTATGATGTAAAATGCGGATTTAATATAGAATAATGACTATCAGCAATTCGTATTGCTGCCAAGAGTCAGACAGCTGCATGATTGACAACAACGATTTCGCTGATAGCAGTAAGATGTCAGATGGTCCACATAGATCGTAATGCCGGTAATATTGAATGCGTCGTCCAGAAGATCAGAATAGATTGATATAATTGGACTTTCAGCGTCTTACCAAATTCAGCTAATTGTCAAATGCACCGATGCATGCGGCGAGAATGCAACTCATTTTCACAATTTGCAGTTCTTGTACTTAAGATCTTACCCACTGATACATATTGGGATGTCGGGCCACTAGTGCATATAACTCACTGAGTCATGTGTATCTTTTTTGTAGAAATTGACACTTAAGGGGCAGTAGTCTGCCTCATACGATATTCTTTCATTGAGTAGTCATAATATCACTACAATCTGCTTGTCGAGTGCGCCAGTGCTTCAAAACAGGAGTACTTTTCATCCAAGGGAAAAGCAGTGAGAACATAAACTCAAACACTTTGATAAAGCGACATCTGAGATATAAAGGGCCTTGTGCTGCAAACCTTTTAGCAGCTTAGCACATATTACATATGGCATGTATGCTGTACGTATCGCCTATTAATGCGCGACGTCGCTTTTAAATACGCAAAAATTATAGTCAGGGCAGCCCGAAGGCGCATTTATCACCACCGGGTATTAAGTCAACTCGGCTTACACCTTATCGCCAAGGTTTACACAGCAAAGAAAGATAAGCGTCTCGCTATTATCTGCAAGTGATGTGGTCACATCATCACTGAACGTAACAATGTTTGCTCTGTATGAATCGCAAATGGGTTAGAGCCTTTGTTTTGAATAGCTCCACTCTGTAAATGTCTGTAATGGGCCACGTCTAAAACAAATGTTGTGTGGTTCAGATATTAATTTGTGTTAAATATTAGTTATGGACCTTGTATAGTTGTATATCCGCTTTACATCTGTTGTATCAGAGGACTTTTCGGTGTGTACCGACAGTGTTACCACCACATGTGAAGGAGGTGACGGAACTAGCGATGGTATGTTCTGCGATGAAATTTTACAATCATTCTTGCCCATAAGCAGCAAAATTTGCCAAGCGTTGAGTTATCGCCTCCTGGCCTAGTTGGAGTTTATTGGAGACCTCGCGACCTCCGATAAGGCTCGCAGATTCATTACATACGCCTTTTGTGAGAGTGTTAGGGACGAAAGATCCTCCATGTTGATCTGTGGACGACCCCCGCCTGTGGTGTCCACATTACCCATCGATAAGACCATCGAAGTAGTCGTCACTACTTGTGCCTTCCAGATCGATTATGGCCCATCCGTATTTTTGCACTCATTGAGATCGGTTAATACGCTTCATCAAGTGTTGCTCAATTCCGGCGAGCCATTGATTTACGCGAACGATGAGGAAAAGGTAAAGTGACAGTTTTTATTATAGCCAATAGGATTTTAACCTACCTTAAACTGATAAGTCGTGAATACCAAGGTGATAAGCTTCCTGAAACGAAGATGAAAATCTTGTCACCTGGCAGCGAGAAATAGACAACGCTTACACGATGGATCGAATTTGTCAAGTGACCTTTGCCATGTCGCATTTGGATGGTCGTGCGAAGAATTGGCCGATGAATTGAGAAGTCAATCGCCCTGGCTACTTTGCCACATGGCTAAAGTTGAAGAAGCAATGAAATCGATGCTCCTTCCACCGAATGTGGCATTTCGACAATGTTCGTAGTTTTTGTCATGCCGTCAAGACAATAGCACATAGTACATATTCGTACAATAGTCATACAGAAGTTCCGCGTGCTTCGTACCAGTATGGCAAGCAAACCACTGCCAGAGGCAGTGATGATCACTCTGTTTATAGCGAGTATGATTGCATTGTGTGAGGACTACTGTCAGCGTCAAGGTCAACCCGATGGAAGCATTGACTGCTGCTACCGAAATCCAGAACCAATGGATCTTAGCGCAGTGACTATTCGTAGGCAGCAAACTCGCCGTTAGAGATGTTGACAATCCGGTCACATCCGCCGTGATTGTCCACGTGAGAGACGGACCTCTCGATACGGTTCTCCTCGTAGTGGTATTGGTACCAGGAGTCACATGGCACTAATACTGCAAGACATCTGGGAAGCACCGAAACCCGGTAGATGCAGAGTGGTCTACCGGGGCAGTTGTTAGCTCTTGTGAGTGTGGTGGCGGATTCACTCAAAAATAATTAGCCCTCGAAGGATCGTTGTCCTTCGTTAACCACACGAGTCGGTGGGGCCTCCTTGCGGTCACAGCGAGTGTGAATGGTTACGGTCGGTCGTTCAGAGTCTTGATTAAATCAGGCACATCGCGTAACTACGCGCGGAAGCATAGTGTTGTTGAAAATTATTCAGCGCTTTCAATTGTAGTGGATAGAAGCAATGGCTTATCTTAGTGAAGTTGGCCACTGGTGCGGTGGTCACCGCAAAAAAAATTACGGTTGGTCTCCAACTATGTTTGAAATCTTCAACTCGAAAAAAGTGTTTACGGTCCTCGAGATGGACAAACGGTATGACTTGATTTAAGGTATATCGTGGCTTGTGAAGCATGAGCCATGTATCGATTAGCATTGAAAGATTCGACAACATTCATTGATAAAGAAAAAGAGGGTGAAGAAGCTGAAACGCTGCAATATATTGCATTGCAAAACAAGTTGCGACAAATTATTAAGTTGCTTTTAGTTGCACAATCGTCAAACTCACAAGTTGACGGTTGTGTGACGTCCAAATTCGATTAATTGACAATTTTGA